CAGCATATGATGGAGCAATATTCTGCATGACGCGATTAGACAGGAAGTATACTTGTATATTTATAGTGAAATAATTTACTGATTGGAAATTAAATTACTTATCGATTTATAACCTATACTGTATATATATTGCTTGAATTATTTTGCATTATTCCGTGAATATTAAATATAAGCGAACATGCATGGCAACAGCTGGAAATAACTCCAAGTAGAAAAATCTACACAAAAATTAAGCCCAAAAACACTGACCGAGAAATTTCATATTTTTGTGAGGTTACGAATAATAATGATAATAATAATAATAATAATAATAATAACAATAATAATATTAATATTAATAATGATAATAATAAACACTCATCATGAATAGGAAATTTCATATGAGTGAACTTACGCAAATGAAAAAAACATGTACTTATTTGCTTTAACTTCAGAGGCCATATTTTAGCACCATAAATGGAGGCCATATTTCTAATACCATATAAAGGCAATATCCATAGCACGATATAGAAATTATATTTTCAGCACCATATAGGGACCATATTATCAGCACCATATATAGAAGCAATATTTTAGCGCCATATAGAGACCATATTTTTAGCACCATATATAGATGCAATGTGCATAGCACCATCTAGAAGCTATATTTTCAGCACCATATAAACGCTGTCGGATTCAGACGAATGCGTTTAAAAACATGTCATTTATTTACATTATCGAATAATAATTTTGAATTATCCAATTCTTAATACATTGTCACTGATTCCGTCCGCAATTTTTTTAAATTCTGTCATATTAAAATTAATTGATTCTATATGTGTTTTTTGCGAGAATGAATAAGTTAAATAAATAGTTAATTAAAACATTTGGAAATATAAAATTTGGTCTTTCAACAAATCTAATATTCCTTATAGATCCTATATAAATCTACGTCATTCAGAGACCTACACAATTTTTGTACTTCAGTGGAAGCATGATGAGAAATGGCCGTATTGTAACGATTATTTTTTTAAATTCTGAAATAATTACTTTTACTGTAAACATCATTTGGAGTTTGTTAAAGTTATATAGTATTAAACTGTTATAGCAACTGCCCACTCTAAAATTCCACGTTGTTCCATTTGTCCAGCATGTAAACTGAGTGATCAGCAGCAGCAAAATAGAGTTTCTGATTTGTAAGCTGTTTAATTAACTGAAAATTAGTACATGGATAATTTCATTAAAGATTAATTGTGCACCAGGCATCACAGTTCATTCAGTGCATTTAACACAGCTAAAATAATTGAAAACATGTAACAATTGTCAATTTTAAATTGGTTATTTGTGAACTACTCTCGTTAGCATTTAAACTGGGATCAATAATTTAAGAATTGTTGTGATCACCATAAAGCTGTAGAAATATTTCAAGTATTTATAAACCGTTGTAAACTGTTGAAACGCTGTTACCTAAACTGTTTAAAATGTTGAAAATTGCTTGTTTCAAAATTCGCGGATCAAAATGTCAAAAATCTTTTATCCTCTAACTGTGGCATCTTCGCTTTCCCAGCAAACTGCTTTTAAACTGTTCTTTCATGACAAAAATCTTAAACTAGTGAAGGTTTTAGGTGTTTTGAAGTGATATTTCTCAGTGTTAAACGGGACAGTTTTATGAAGGACTTAAAGCGAGACGGTGATTGGTTCATAAGGTCCAGTCTTTATCCAAAAGACTCATGCTCATTGGCTGGCGAGGTTGTAATCAAGTTTCTATTATCCGACCCCGACTTTATCGCTTCTCTCTGATTGGCTGAGCTTCGTTGGCCAATAGCAGCACCCGCAAGGCACTTTATGACCATCCAGTAAATAGGTTGCCACTTAGCGTATATTAACCGCTATTTATGCCAGTAACGGCAACTCCGCACCAGAAAACGCACAAAAAACGGCCGCTAAAAAGTCAAAATACCTCTGAAAAAAAGGGGGAAAAACGAAAAGGCAATTTTTGATCTCTTTGGTCTTATACATTTTGCGAATCAATAACAATTCCGGAATGAAAGGTCCTGAATCGAATCATCTCGACTCAGGAATTTTTAGATACTAATTTTATCCTGCATCCCTGATCCCTAATTTTATCCTGCATCCCTGATCCCTAATTTTATCCTGCATCCCTGACCCTAATTTTATCCTGCATCCCTGACCCCCTAATTTTATCCTGCATCCCTGACCCTAATTTTATCCTGCATCCCTGACCCCCTAATTTTATCCTGAATCCCTGACCCAAACTCATCAAGCGGAGTTGTTTTAAGAAAGTTGAATACATTTTAGTCTAACTATACAGAACCTACTAATGTGTGTGAAAATATTTCAACGATGCATAATTTATTGCATCAATTTTCCGTAATATTTTAAGTCATTTCGAATAGCTCGAAAAATATTCACTTGATAAAGTTTGAATGGCTGTGTTTACTTTCCTTTGTCCAATATTCCGGAATTAACTAATGAAAATTTCATTCGAACACCAAATATTTAAACGTGCTTATCGGCTGCGTATTGTATACAGTGCGTATTGGCTGCGTGTTTTATATGGTGCGTATTGGCTGCGTATTGGGTGACCACGTCACCCCGTCACGTCACTAAGTCATACCACGTCACCCCGCCACGTCACTAAGTCATACCACGTCACTAAGTCACACCACGTCACNGTCATACCACGTCACCCCGCACGTCACTAAGTCATACCACGTCACCCCGCACGTCACTAAGTTACACCACGTCACCCCGTCACGTCACTAAGTCATACCACGTCACCACGTCACGTCACTAAGTCATACCACGTCACCCCGACACGTCACTAAGTCATACCACGTCACTAAGTCACACCACGTCACCCCGCACGTCAGTCTCAGGATCATTAATATTGTAAGGTGTCAGCGCAGGAGAGGTTCACTGATCCCGTATAATGGCATAGGATCCTTTGTGATCCTCCGTGATCGCTGTGAAGGACCCGAGGCAGGATCTCACCCCATTATGCATCACATGATGTGGCGACATCCACACAAATGCCGCTAAGTGGCCGCCGATAAAACGGCCATGGATTTAACAGCATTGCTCCCTATAAACTTAAGCTTAGGTAGAGGCGGCCATTGCTCACTTTTGAGAACAAATTAACAGAGAATTAACTTTATAATATTTGTTATAATGAGAACAAATTAACATATTAGGCGTTATAATATTTGATATAATTATAGTAAATTATTCCTTTCGCGGTTTGATTTATTCTGCACTCATTCCGATTACTTCGTGACAGCATTACATTAATTTTTTGCAAAAATCTATTTATAATTGCACGATAGGTTTTCGTTTAACACAAAAGTGAAATAATTAATTTAGGTGGAATTCTAAAATGATTTTGATTGTATTAAGTTACTAAATTCGTCGAAGCAATGAAAATTATGTGTCTCACAACTGATGCCAGCCAGCGGGCACCAAACGTTATAAATATGGCATCATATGTTATATAGCATCATATGTTATATAGCATCATATGTTATATAGCGTCATATGTTATATAGCGTCATATGNACTCTGTCTCTTATACACATCTAGATGTGTATAAGAGACAGATGTTATATAGCATCGTATGTTACATAGCATCATAAGCTATAAAATTTCATGGTGGGATAAATTGTAAAAATAGAAATTCCTGTCGTTTCATTACAATCCATTCTCCGAATTTTTAATTTTGTATTGAAAGAAACGCAAGATGAAACGCAATTCGAATGTGAAATTGCTAGTGTTTTTGGACGCCTTAAATTAAAAGATTAAATTGCAATTAGTCTAAAAAATTTTCATCCGGAATCAATAATTCTCTACGGCATGATTATAGATCAAATAATGTTTATATATACGGTTGAAGGGGTACATTCTGAGGTATTGATTCAAATTCTGTGTTTTTAATTGAAAACTTTTATCGATTTTGAAAAGCTTCGTTTTATTTTAATTTCAACTATAACCAGTGAAAATTAGAGTAACTATTACTGTTACTGTAACTGCTGTTACTGTGCGAGTAACAGCGATACTGTTTGCGGCTGCTGGTTGGGAGTCGGCGGCAACTCTTTTGACTGCAACATAATTGTTGACAAAAGCTTGTCAGTACTGTTGACAACAGCAGTACTACTGACAACAGCAGTGCTATTGACAACAGCAGTACTACTGACAACAGCAGTGCTATTGACAACAGCAGTGCTATTGAAAACAGCAAAAGAATTCAACGGTATCCTATCCTCCATTCAACACACCACACATAAAATCAACCGACATCAACCGACATTTATAATATAATAATTGTATTCCCATGTACACTTCTGCTGTCGACAGTACCAACAGTCATCTGTCACCACCAGGCGACGTGGTAACGTCGACATCACACAACACCAATGATGGCTACAAAGCAGCGACACTAACACCAACAATAGCGACACTAGCGCTAACAATAGCGACACTAGCGCTAACAATAGCGACACTAGCGCTAACAATAGTCACTATTGTGCTGGTGAGAGCTAGCGCCAGACCTTTAGCGGCAGCTCCATTACCCTGGGCAGGATCTAACTAATCCTAAACGCCGTATTATTGCCGTGTAATATTACCAGACATTCTCTCAGTTACTCACAGTCAAATCCTAAACGCCGTATTATTGCCGTGTAATGTTACCAGACATTCACTCAGTTACTCACAGTCTAATCTTAAACGCCGTATTATTGCCGTGTAATATTACCAGACATTCACTAGTTATTCACCAGTCACGCTCCGTCTGATCACAACTTGTCGTTTTTCACAATTTTTGCCTCGCGATTAAAGCCTGAAAATCTTGATTGCAATACAATAATATGAGCTAATATTTAAATAATATATATTTATGAATAAAATAAATAATAAGATATGAGCTAATAAATTAATCTGGTCAAGGGCTAAATTGCTGCATTTTAATATAGGTAAAAATGTCTACCTTAAAATAATTAAATATTCACCTTTAGAAGAGATCTCATCCAAGGGATTGGTTGCAGATGTAGTCCAGGGATGGTGGTGGTGGTGGTGAATGGATGGTGGTGGGTGGTGATGGTGATGGTGGTGTTGGTGATGCTGGTGGTGGAGGGTGGACCCTCCTACATCCACCGGAGAAAGCATTGAAGTGCACAACAAAAGCGGTGTAAATTCGGCAGATGTTTTCTTCGGTGAAAAATTGCTACATATGTTGTGTTATTCTGTAGTCGATTAAAATATCTTGTATTTAGTTTACTCTAGCATATTTTGACTGCTGTGAGCCATTCAAATTCAAAAATTACTCCTCAGTTTTGTTTCGGTACACAAATTTCATATGGACCAATATTTGACTGCAAGTTTAGAAAAAGAAATGAATTTGAAAATTTTATTTTCAGGCCTTTGTTTTCATTTTCGTTCAACTTTGGTTCATAATTATGAGCATAATAATTAAGTGTGTAATAATTATGTATATGATACAACACTCAAATATATTTATCACTGAATTAGAACGAGTAAACTCCTCGGTGTAATTCTATTTTCAAGACACGATATGTTGTGTGTCGTAATTCTTGCAGTGTAACTCTGAAAACGAAAGAAATAAGATGAGATAATGCATATTCACGGGTGAGCAATATGAACATGTACTTTATTAAGAAACCGATGAGAACATGTATTTTGATAATAAATATATTACAACAAATATTTTAATTACAAGGCTACAACAAAATATTTTTTACTGTAAAAGTCAGGAGGACATGCATTTCCATAGAAAAGTAATAAGAATATGCATCTTAATAATATTGCACATGTTAGACGAATTTTCATAGCAATGTAAAATGAACTTATACTGTTATAGGAGAGCGAGAAAAGCGTATAGTTTCATAGGAGAGTGAGAAGAATATGTGTTCCCATGTACATATGCGACTTTAATTCATATCTCATATGCGAGTCAATCCATTGTATACTTTTTAGCTCACACATAGAAGGTTTAAAAATACTAATAGGAATTGAGAATGTGATCGTTTTGAATAAATAAAATAAACGAATAAAATAATCGTTTTGAAATTCGTCTAAAAAATAATCGTTATAATCGTTATATAAAATAATCGTTTTGAAATTCGTCTATTAAATATATAGCTGAGAATATATTTGGGTAGACTGATTTTGAACCTTAAAATGTATTCACGTGATATACCAATAGCACGATTAATTTGAAAATGAAAGAGCTAATATTGAGTTAATAAATTGTTAAAAATGTTATAAGCTCTATAAAATATTGGCGGGACCTCAATTGGAGAATATAATTGTATTCATCGAATGATTTTATGAAGATCTTATTGAAACAAATAGTGAAGCAGCGACGATTGCTTGCATGGTTCTGTAAACAAGCATTTGTTTTAAAGTGATTGACCTGAGTTTAATTGTTGACTGTCAGCTGAGCTATCTCTTGACGTGTCTGTAAACAAGCATTTGTTGTCCAAACGAAGAATTAAGAATATATTCGAAATTTTGATCAAATATTTTTTTTCGTACATGAATCATTTGTATTATTATTATTATTATTTAACAGCTGTAAAATTTGTGAACCGTTATTTCATTGTAAGTTTTCATAAGCTGTTTATTTGTGAATCAATGCATGAAATTGACTCATCACACTGCCACTGAATTCATATTTCTGCAGTCAACGACCTGTGAAAATGTCTATATATGATTGAAATTTTTATAAAATACCCATAAGTTATATTATGTAATTTTTTTTAATACATTTTAGTCAAATAAAAAAAACGTATCCAAGTTGGACGTGAGCCACTGAAAACAAAATGCGAGTCAAAATATAGTACGGTGTTCAGTTACATAACGCAATCACGAAGGGTTGTTCGCAATCACAATACTCAGAACAATCACAAATGAAAAATGAAAATGTGAGTGAACAGAGTTCATAATAAATATTAGTGAACAGAGTTCATAATAATGTTCCTATAATAGAGTATCTTGAGAATTATGCATTTACCATTTTCATCACAGCGGGGATACTTAAATGCTGGTTGAGAAGTCCGTGGAGTTTTTCCAACGTTCCATGATATTTAATTAGCATTATCCAATATTTATTATCTATTAGAGAACAGCGTTGCAATTCCAGTTGCAAAATTAAACTTGAATTTAATGAAGTTAATTCGTGGTAATTGCTTCCATTTGGAGTGTGCGCGAAATCCGTCTAACGGTCAAGGGGAAAATAAAGTTTACAGATCAAGTGAAGTGTTCAAGTTAATCTCAAACAAAAAGAAAATGTGATTAAAATTACAAACTTACCATCCAGTAATCGGAGAGAAATTTTCTTTTCCACGAATGTCCATTTAATCTAAATCACTTTCAGGACTAATTGCTATTGCAATATTCAAGACGATTTTAAATTCAGGTAACGTTTTTCATTCACGATTCACTCACAATCCAGGAACAGTAGCTCTTCTCTATATAATATTTTATTCCGTACACCAGCTTGTAGCAATAATTTTTTTCAATTAAGTGAAACTATTTCTTAAGCGCCAATAAAATATTATCAATCCAATATATTCTCACAAATTTTTATAAAGCAAGCTATAATTTTGATCTACTTCATAATGCAATATTTTTTCCGCACTGAAATATATGTTCATTTTAAATGTATTTCTTATATTGGACAAATTTTGTGATCACTTTCTCTTTTCAGGGTTAACTTCCACAAAATGTTCACCACAAGATAACTTATTTATATTTATGACAACTTTATATGTGAAGTCTACACCAATATCAGCAAAACTGCAAGTACATCATCCAGGTGGCCACGGGGAGTCAAAAATTGACATCTTGAAACTTAAGATATTAAAATCACCAAAATGTTCACTTGGGCCTTGAAATTTAAGAAGTTCGAGTGTTTTAGTAAACGTAAACTTGTAAATCTACAATAAGAAATATGGGTAATTTATTTCTCAAGTTCTTCCTAATTAATGAATCTTATGACGATGCTATCAACACTTGCATTCAAAAGCTTCGCATTAAATTGATTAAATTAAATTAAATTAAATTAAATTAAAAGCTTCACATTAAATTATACACTCACGGGATGAGTTAAATTTACAGCGATGATTATTATTTTATGCCAGTCGCCTAGATGTATCACAAATGGATTAACTTCAGTCACAAATAAATTTAGTTATCACTAATCAATAATAAAATTAAACTCAACGGATTTATTATAACAATAAATTCAACTTCTCTTTAGAGAGCCGTAGTTTCAACTTCTATTAAGATAATTTCAACTTTGTTAATAAATTAACGAATAATTCAATCAAATAAGCACAATTTGGTCATAACTATAACTACAAATATTATAATTTGGCCTGGCTAGTTTAAATTATAATGTTTATGATTAAGATTAATGATATTGTTTAGAAATGATAATTAACGGAAGCTATCGATAGAAGTCAACGTAAGTAAATTTGAAAGGATCGGATATAATGATATTTCAAAAATCATTAAATTCAGTAAGCGATCAATAAATAAGTGGTAAATAATGATGCGATGTTGGAAAAGAAGATATAAAATACAAATAATATTGCTTCATGACATGATTTGATGATTATAAATGCAGACACTTATTGATGTCATTCATGATAATCAGAATTAAGGACTTTGCAATTAAATTTAAAATTTTTAACCAATGTATAAATAATCAATAAATTAAATAAATAATCATTCAATGTTGCTGTAATCCGATAACTAATAGATAAATAAATAATCATTTAATGATACTATAATCTTATGGACGATTAAGCAGCTTACGGTTCATTCAATGTTAATCAAATAAGTAAAAAATAAATAATACAACAGTGATTATACCGAGCACGCATGAATGAATATGCTGGAAATTTTAATAAGGAGAAAAGATGATGAAATACTAATTTTTAGTGTTTGAAATCGTTTATCAAACTAACACGTAAATATATAGGAATTATGTAGAAATTATCTATTATTTGAACTAAAATCTGGGCATTGTTAATAATAACAGCGTCGACGAATATTATAATGAAGGCGACGATTAAAACTTGGTAGAAGATCAACTAAACAATGCCGATGGGAGGCACTATACAATATTGATTACAATAATTATACAGCACAATGATAAACACCATAATGCTAATTAACCGGCCCAGGCAGCAGGGCAATGGTAATATTGGTAGAAGTTTAACTAAACAATGCCGATGATAGGCACTATACAATATTTATTACAATAATTATACAGCACAATGATAAACACCATAATGATAATTAACGGGCCCAGGCACCAGGGCAATGATACGATAGCACACGAGAGCAGCCCGCCACACATGCACACGGGAGCAGCACGCCACACATGTCCGCCACACCCGCCGCGTCCCGCCACTCGAGTGGTGCTTCACCCGCCTCACTGCTCACCACTTCTGCTCAGTGCCCGCCTCCTTCCCTTCCACCACCGCCCTCCACTCAACCCCTCCATCACACTCCACAACCGTTCCATGTATCATCACACTAAACATATTATTTCAAAAACTGTACAATTGTTTCTGCAAACACAAATATGGTGGACACAGTTCAAACTTGAACATTCGTCATGAACCTTTCATTGAAGTGAAGTTTATAAGTTTAAAAAATATTTGAAGGTTTTTTATTTTACAAATTATAAATTAACTGCACAATCGTTTCTACAAACATAGATATGGTGAAGCCAGTTCAACCCTGTACATTTATCATGAACCTCTTATTAAAGTCCCGTTTATAAGTTTAAAAAAAAATTTTACATGTTTTTGTCATGGTACAAATTATAAAATTAGTATCTTGGATGCGCGCCCGATATAAGCTCCTGTATATTTTTAAAGCCATGATTCAATACTAAAATTAATAAATAACATCGAAAAAATTATTTTTAGTTGCTACTGAATTGAAATTCTAGTAGTGCACTATTTGCATCCATACATTTTTTGAGCGCATTTGTTGCATTTTATATCATTTCCGTGAAATTAAGGAATTTCGTTCTAGTTCTATTTTCAAATCAATATTGCATTACTAACTGGGTTGCGTTTATATACGAAGTCAATTACGTTTTAATTCACATTTAAGTTTTTGGTTATAATTTACAAAGCTTTTATATATTCCAGCTATTGGCACTTTGCTCCGTATTCTTTAATTGTTTGGAGGTTGACATTATTGTACATTCCGAAGCTCTCAGTGCCAAAATATTAGCTTATTGTGTATTGTAACCTCAATAATATTAAATTAGTCAAAACATCCATCGAGCATTGAATTGACATTTATTTCTGGAATCATTAAATTTAAATTTATTTCATTGAATTTAAAACAAATTTTCTGGAATCAATTATCAATTTACAAAATTTCTATACCAATTTTTTTAAACGCGTCATCAGTCGCAATAAATTTCAATTTACTCACCATGTTAGCAACTGAAATTGTAATTATTAATTACATATGAAATATATATTATTACACTAATTTTACCATGTCT